TCAGCAGCGTTGCAAATCACAGATGTCCTGAGCAATGGTGGAAACTTTGCTCACTAATGATCCTGTGCCAAAGTTGAAGGAAAACACTCTATGGGCTAAATTCAGCCTCTCTTTAGGTACTTGCACCACACTGGTATGTAGCTTAGTTTAGCTGTTTGGCAAATTTCATGTGTACCTTTTTGCCATTAGAAGCAGCAGCAAGTAAGGTGGCATGATTATGTTGCATTTATGTTTAGTAGCAGAATGCCCTAGGGAAAAGAGGAAAGTTGGGGTCTGAATTAATTTGTTCAGATCCTCCCATAAATACAGCGGGAAGTCCTGCAATAGGAACTTAGAAATTGTCTCTTGTTTTGGCCCTGCTTGTTATTCACCTGAATGGCTTACAGCTAGTGGAGACTTTTCTACCGGAGGTACAGGCACTTCTCAGGAGTTTCAGGGCTTGAGAGCCCACTCTGTAAAAACAAATGGATTGTCTTCTTCCTTGTCCCCCCTTTCCTCTGCCTGGTCAATGGCAACAACTTTCTGGCCAGCGCCATGGCTTGTAATTACCAGTCTCTGAGGCTTACAGTGAAATAAGTTGAGTCAGTGTCATGTGGAAGCTCTAGAAAAGTAGCATTGAAATTAGTCTGTTAAATTTTTCTATCCTTTTCGCTACTCTTTGGCGATACTGATCAAACTAATTTTCAGAGTTGTCTTCCTGCTTGTATTTGACCACTAAGTATAAATTTTCTTCAAAGTAGAGAACATCAGATGTTTTAGGCTTTGAGGAATGTGTTTCCAGATCAGAGGCCAAGGCAGTATTATTAGGTTCTTCTGTCTTCCACTGTGATGGAGACTAAATGAGTCTAGCCTAGTCATTTCAGTCCTTGCTCCAAAGTACAAACCAGATTTTTTTTGTTTCCCCCCCATATCTTCCTCAAAAATGTAAGCTGCAGGTCAGGAATATTGATATGTCAGCATAAAATTGGCTATAAATTCTCTGTTTCTGATGTTGCAAGGCTGTGATGCGTATGCATACACGCACAGGAAAAGGGTGTTGCCGTTACTATCATAGTGTGTTACAAAATTACTCATGCAGCAGGTAATGAAATGTTTTCATTGATAACGCAGGACTGATGAGAGTTAGAAACAAAAGTGGAGGTTAACAGAATGTTTCCGAAAAGCTTTTGGGTGACATTTTTTCAGCTTTCAGTGTGACTTACTAGCTGAATATTCCAGATAACTTAATGATTTGTTGTCCTTCCAAAAAGGGGGGGTGAGGAGGGCAATGATACACCACCTTACGAAGATGTTAAATGTACTGTTTAACTACCCTGTGTTAAAATGACACTGGATTTTTTTTTTTTTTTTTATTAATGCAATGAAACTGCATTTCTGATTCACTCACTAGCTGATGTTGGAAATGCATAGATAATATTTAGTTTGCAAAAAGTTACAGCCTTTAACAAATTATGGAATATCGTTTTATTTCTGTAGTGGAGATGAATTCCTCCAGTTTCTTCAGAAGTTGAATAAAGAGTGTAGTAAGCTGACCATTCCTGTGCAGACCATGAATAAGCATTTCCTCAAAAATTCTCACAAGGTATTCAACCAAAGAAAGAAAGATTGATTTAGAGTATATTATTCTATTCTAGAAATAATATTCTACCTTGTAAAATGAAAAAATATGAATGCTCATCAACCATCTTGATTGTTGTACAGTTACATAGAGCTGTCCAATGTTCTTTCTCTAAAGGACACTTTAAAATAATTTATTTCAAAGAGTTAAGCCACCTTATTAAAGGCAATAGATCTGTTTCTTTGTGTTTCTGCTGATAGGGGAGTTAAGGTGGCAGAAGGTTCCCACAAAGGCTGATAGAGAGTAGTATATCATGTTGTGCATAACTTGTACAATGAAAACGCAGAATAAATGCAGTTATAAGCTTTTTTTTTTACACTGTCTTTTATGATATGTTAACTAAAGAATATTAAATTATAATCTGCAGTAATTCTGGCAAATAACTGTAACTATTAACAGATAGTACTGCAGTGGGCACCGACTGAAAGTTTTATTGAGGTCTGCAAAGACTTGGTTTGCAGTGTTAAAAAGCTGGGAGAAGAAGTTACTAAACTGAAGGACCTGGTGGAGAAGGTGAGTATGTGCAACTGAGGCTATTAAATACTGTCTACAAGTTTCTGCGTGCAACCTCAAATGTGACATCCATCAGTGAAATGTTTCATACCTTGGTCTGGCACAGGCTCTTTAGCTGTAGCTTGGACATTGTGTCTGCCTCTCCCCCTTCCACCTTTCCATGGACAGAATGAGAAATAATCTAGAATATTCCACAGCAGCGTGGACAGTCTCCAAAGGAAGGCAAAGTCAATCTTTTTCTTTCTACCACAGGAAAGAATTAAGTGGAATGTTTCCCTGTGCTCTTGGACAACTGCTGTGGCATAAATGCCACTCTGAATGCTTACACTCTTACTCCTTAATTAAGGAATCTTTTGTTTGGAATTATTGACTCACAAGGAAGATACTGAAGTTTTATGGATTGATTGGGAGGCATCCCAGATAACTCTGCAGAGTGACAAAAGAAGAGGGTGGGAGAGGTCAAGGCTAGATGTTAGCACCACATCAGTCATTCTCAAACCAGCACAATGACACGCTCTTGTCAGATGGGGTCATTTTAAGTAATAGGCTAGTAAAAGGAATGGCCGCTGGGATAGAGTAAATGGAGCATCAGTGTCAGAAAGGAATCTGTTGCTGAACGAAGCCATGTGGAGCTCAGACCTGGAGTATAATGCTACTAATGCAATTTCCTGTAGTTTAAGTAAATTTAATGTAATATAACAGCCTTCCCCCAATAAATCACTTAACACCAAATATATTTAAGAGGTAGACTGGGGTTGTGGCAACGAACTTTTTAGCTATTTGTGTTCCTTTTTTTTGCATATGCAGAAATCAGTTGTATGTATGTATGTATTTGCTTCCTGTATGTGCAGGCCAGTTATAAGGGCTGGGGGAATCTGAGTTAGGTGCCACTTGACTTTGCTCTCAGCTGTACTTAAGGTTTTATAGCTGTTAAGATGAAGCATGGTGGCTCTGTACCTAGTGTTAAACAGAGGTGTTAAACATCAGCCTTCTAATTACTTCAAAAATGCAATTCCTGTTCTATTAAAATACTGTAGTGTTTTATGAATTTCACTGATAAAGACTTTAATACAAAACATTTTTGTGCTACTTAATTTATGGTGGGGCACTCTTGAATGAGTAGAGCACTGAAACGTTTATTAAAGAAAAGTGCCAATTTCAGTGAAACAGTTAAACCTCCTGGATAATAAGTTTGCGTAAATTCCCTTAAAATCTTCAGTACTGTTTGCTAAGCTTAGTCATTACAAGACTTTGCCAGCAGTACATGTTATGTCTGTAGCATATAATTTTTGAAAGCACAGTAAACGAGATGGCCTTCCAAGGGTTAGAAACTAAGGTAGGGAATCAGGACGTAGCCCTGCTGCACTTCGTGACAAGGCTCCACTCAACGTCAACATGTATTTGAGCAGGCACTTGTAAGGTACTTTCCACTCTCCCTTTAATTTCAAGGAAGTCTAATCTGTTGCATATTTAACTTGCTGTTTTAATACACAGTTGTTTTAATAATTAAATGGCAAAAGTTCTGGTTAAAATATTTGACCATTGGAGTTTAAATGTTTTGTTATTAGATTTTTGTAGCATCTATTAGCAGTGTGTTTTACTCCTGATGAATTAAGTTTGTAAACAAACAGTTTGTCTTTCTAATATATATTACAGAGTGATTGAGTATCAGGTAAGAGAAAGATTTGCACACGTTTATTTCAATTGAAGTAGGGCACAGACAGATGGTGAGAAAGAAATAATATCAATCCTAGATGCATGCAGATTCTTAGCACTGGGTACTTTATCACATACTTAAGAAGCTTTCACACTAACTTTTTTTTCTTTGTTGCACTTTTTACATGAACTTAACATCTGCCTCAGCATGAACAGACGAATGACCCCAGCCGAGTGAAACTTCCAGAAAAAGCACCCAGCTTGGAAAAAAGATTAGTAAAAATGGGAGCGGTAACATTGCTTGGATTTGGTTTTTTCTTCTTTATAACTAAGTTAGTGGTAAAGAAAACCTGACTTTAAGTTTAGTGCTATGAATAATTTTGGAAAACTTGGTCACATTATGCTTCTGTTCAGTATATGCAGCTGAGCTGAAGTCATGTGAAAATTTGTGTAGTTTCTCATCATATCTGTAGTATTTGCATCCAGTAAGTACTTTGATCTAGAAATAAAGTTACTAAAAATTAAAACTGCTACTTAAATGTATCTTAAGGTTTTATTTTCAAAATTATTTTTGGTATAGACAGTAGGTCTAAAATCTTATCAAAGCTACTTTTTTTGGCATAAAGCTGTAATTGTTGCTTACTAATTACTAGTTTCATTTTTACCTTTAGCTGTTGTTCAGAGGTGAACATAAGCAAATAATTCTGATTATATCACATGTTTGTATTTCAAAGCATGATGGAGATGTGTTTCGGGGGTTGGGAGGGTTTAAAATATTTTAAGTATGTCATGCAATTTTATGTTGATAGAGATCTTTTCTCTTGCAATTTTTCATACGAATCTATCATATGAAAAACTTCCTGGTGAGGTGTACTTTTCTTTCTCTGTCACAATCACAGGACTGTGGAGATCTTGTTACACATTGCCTGAAAAGTAATTTCCCCCTGAACTGCGATATTCAAATTATGCCTGAAATCTGTTTCCTCAGGGATACTTAGTTCTATTAAGAGTTTCATCCCATCTATTAAAAGGATTATAGCAGTCCTTTGCTACGATAATGCAAGCAACTTAGAAGGCATAGCAGCATGGTTTTTTCTTGGTCTGGTCTTTCACTCACAGGAGCTTCATGTTTAGAGTAATTTTTTCTTCATATTTTCTCCACATAAAAAGGTGTTTGTAATTCTGCAGTGAAACATTAATATCTGTTTTTCATCTGGTTACTAAACCAGCTATGTTGGAAAAAAGGGAATTGGTGTAAGTAATTCAAATCACAGTTATGTTTTGGCAGACTTCAGTAAACATCTGTAAAAATGCTGAATGTTTCTGAAGGGACATTCTTCTATCAAAATAAAACAGAAGCAGTCTAGAAAAATGTGAGCCTCAACGGGTGTGCCATGCTTTGGCTCTTTTCTGTTTTCAGAGATGTTGTGTGGAGTCTTAATCTTTGATGTTCCCTCCAGAGACTAGTAAGGAGAAGATAAAAACCTGAGTGCTACTCCAATTGCTGTCACAGTTATTCTCTGCTTTTTGTTTTGGAAAACTACATTGGGTGTTAGTATGTTTCCTTGTTACTGCAATTGTTTTACCTCCTTTCCTCCCAGGTTTCTCCTTCAAGGCAAGGAACATCCTACAGAGAGATGAGGCCGGAGGCAAATACAACATAAGTTGGTTTTTTTTTTTTCTATTCTGTTCCCAACTTTGGGTCAGAAGAGATAAGCTATATTCCCTGCCACCACCATCTACCAGCAGAGGCAGAGAAGTGCACATACTCTCAGCGTACTGATTTGAACCAGCAAAGTATAGAAAAGATTTAAAAAATAGTTCTCTGTTTCTTGATATTACCTTGTAATTAATCCTGAACTAACAAGACACATGTCACAAAAGGAAGAATACTTGGAAATGGAAAAATCCGTGAAAATACAAAAATCTGTAAAGTGCAGTTTTAACTGCTTGTCATATGCATGGAACCTTATATATATTCACAGCACTCCTTCTCTAATTAGCTTGAAATACGATTCAAATGCAGTTCCCAGTGATGGGATGGCTTACAAGTATTATTAGAACTTTGACACACAACATCTTTTGGTTTTTTTTCTGTTGGGTGATGAGGTTTTTTTCCTTTTTTCTTTTTTTTTTTTTCTTCTTTAGGAGGAGTGGGAAGGTGGGCAGGCATTTTGTTCATATTGTTTCCAACATGTACTTTCACTTTAGTTAAGTGGTATTATTTCAACCACTAGTAAGGTTTCTGTGATACTGCTCTTGAAAAGGTTCTGTTACTTAGCCTCACTATTCCTTAATTCTCCACTTCAGTGAGAATTTGCATTAATGAAATCACTTCAAGGGGCACTGAAAGTAGCTTCTATTTCAAGAGATGCGTTTCCTAATACTACTAGATCTCGTCATTTGAGGCAGTAACTAAAAATTTTAATTATCTTTCCATGAATTTGAAGAAAACATCCACTTGTATGGAGGCCTTTTAAGCTAGCCTTGAAGGTCTTGCAGTTGAATAGGAAATCTGCTCCAAAAAATAGTTTTATCAATATTTAGCTAAATTGTAGGTATAACAATGTGAATGATGCCATCAGTGTAAAATACCTATGAGGGAAAAAATAATGCATGATACTTGCTGATAAATGTCTTCTAGTTTGAGTGTTACAATAAAATATTCTTTGCAGAAATGAGTCAAAAATCTGAACACTTGGAGCTGACCTCCAAAAGGCATTTGGGAGAAGCTGCTCCTGTTAAGTTATCTTATGGATCACTTATTTCAGGTGCTTGTAATCATGATTGCAAACACACGTGAACAGCATTTGGGTTAAACCTAGGCTTTCTGCCAGCAGCATCCTTAGCATGGTGCACTGTTGAAGAGTAGTGTTCAAAATGGCATAAACCACACAGGAGAAGCAAGGGTCTTGGAATAACCATTTTGAGCTGTCCCATTAAGTGATCGGTCATGAACTGTGTTGCGTGAGTAGGATATGTTAAGAGCCAAATAAACAAAGTTGTTTTTTTTTTTTAACCTACCATATCATAAAAAATGTCTGTTTTCCTCTTCACATTCCAAACTCAGGCTTAAACAATGAATTTCAAGGTCCTTTATTCTCTTTCATGTTGTTCCTGTGCCTCTTTCAAATTCTCTGTTTAAGAAGGTATCACAATCTGGTTGTGATAGCGCAGGAAGCAAAGAAAGAGATTCCTTCAACATCTGTCCCCTGAGCTCCGCTGTCAAAATTCTCACCCCTGCCAGCACCGGGTAAGGGAGCCTTCAGATGAAAATGTCCCTGCCGAGAGGCCTCCTTCTGTAAGTCATCAAATTAAGTCATTATCCCAGAACAGTGAGAATACAATGATTTGCACATCTATGAGGGGATTGGAGGAGAAGCTAAAGAGCTTTGCATGCATTAAGCAGGTAAGCTGCACAGCCCTCTGAGGTATTGTTTTCCTCTTACAGTAGTGCAAATTGAGATGCAGGAAGATTGAGTGGATTGGACCTGGGGCCAAATCCTGCAGATACATGGTTGCTTAAAGATGCAGCGAGGTTCCTACTTGCAATACCATTGGATACCTAACTTCTCTTGATACGGATGAATATTCATGCAATGGCCTTTTCTGAATCTTTAGACTGTTATGTAAAATTAGGGCCTTGGGTGATCCTGTGGAGATCTGAAAGAACCTAAAGAATTTTTATTTCTAATTTGTCCTGCCCAAGATAAAACTGCACATTGTGTGTGTTGTCTCTGTCTTCCTGTGCGTTCGGATTTGCCCCGCTCTTTAAAGTTGACTTGCGGACTACCTGGTCTGTCGTAAGACATTGCGCAGTTATTCCTGTTGGATACAAATTGCAAATAGTAGACAGTAATTTTGGTTATGTGCATTCTTAAATTGAGAAAGTGAGCTTTTTTTATTACATTCACCATTGACTTAGAGAAGTGCTGTGTTTGGTTTCTCTTCTTGATCCAACTGCCTTGTTGGGGATAAGACTTAAGCTTGAGCTTTGTAGATTGTGCTTTTTCCTCTTGCTGTCTTTGAACCCCTTCAGGTGTTCCCCAAAGCTGCAGCTTGCTCATATGTGTAAGCAGGTGTTTGCTTACATTTGCCTTCTCTGTTCCAGCAGTTCCGCAAAAGTTACAGGTTGTCTTTCCCAAATAAAACTACTGTGTTAGAAGTAAAATACTACTAATGTGGCTTTGGGCTTTACGTGGTGCAAGATTTTGACTCTTCAGCCTTGCTAAACAAGTCTCTTTGTGAATAAATTGTATAAATCCATCTTACCCTGTGTCATGAAAGGGCGACTAGGTGATCCATAGCTTGTCTATGGTAGTTGTCTGCTTTCTTGCGGTCTGTTTTGGTATTCATACGGGAGGGAATCTTTCTGCACAGATAAAAAGCCTTGAAGGTCTAGCAGGTGTCATAACTGCAGGTTTCTGCTTTTAAAGACTTTTACTGTCATTTCTTTGTTCTGCATGGGAGAAATGTGTATTTGGAAATTTATATTTCCCTGTTCTAGAAATGGGGCTCTGTATTTTACAGACCAGAAATGGTAAGCGGTGAGGCCTGAAGTGGGGTATTACTGGCATTAAATAAATAATGTGATGTGTATCCTTAACAGCTTTAATAGCTGTTAAATTACTTTTATTTTTTATCCTGATTCAAATGGTGTAGTTTCATGTAATAGAGAGCCATAGTCCCTGGAAGTGGGACTTGCAGGGATCCCTCTGGGAAGGATTTTCAGTTCTTTTAAGCTGTGCTACTGACTGCTATATATGGGATGATGTCTTCTACTTAAGGGTTTGATGGGTTTTTTTTCTTACTAATTATTCTTCTCAGATGAGCCTTCCATGCCTTCACCTTTTCTGAAAACAGTCTTTATTTGAATGTAGAAATACAGGTTTAACTACATGATTTTCACTATTGTATTGAAAAACGTCAGCTCAATTTTATAAGGAATGTATTCAAAGAATTGGGCTTTCAGTGTTCCTGGCTACTCAGCTGTCATCTGTATCGCACATGGCATGATTTCGTGACTGGATGAGAAGCTGCGTGCATATACTCATTGGAGGCACGTACGGCTTTGTAAGTCCAGTTTGCTCTGGCAGCAAGGAGGGCCAACAGCCTCTCCAGGGCTGCATCACCTGCAGTCGAGGGTGTGATCCTTCTCCTCTCCTCAGCACTGGGGAGGCCACACCTTGGAGTGCTGGGTCCAGTCCTGGGCTCCCCGGTATGAGAGGGACATGGGCGTACTGGATAGAGTCCAGCAAAGGGCCATGAAAACACTGAAGGGCTTGGAGCATGTGAGTTATGTGGAGAGGCTGAGAGAGCTGGGATTGTTCAGCCTGGAGAAGAGAAGGCTCTGGGGCATCTTATCCATGTGTATAAATACCTGGGGGGGGAGTGAAGACGGAGCCAGGATCTTCTCAGTGGTGCCCAGGGGCAGGCCAGCAGGCTGTGGGCACAAACTGAAACGCAGGAAATGCCATTGAAAGGGGGAAATAATTCATCCCGGGTCGGACACTGGAGCAGGTTGCCCAGAGAGGTGGTATTGCTTCTGACCTTGGAGGTGCTCAAAACTGGACACATCCCTCAGCAACCTGCTGGCTGACCCTGCTCTGAGCAGGGGCTTAGACTGAAGAGGCCCCACAGGGCCCCTTCCAACCTTGCCCATTCTGTCTAACAAGAGAGATTGGTTAATGGAGAGAAATAGTGTTTCCAAGGTGAGTTCCTGTAAGGCCAGCACAGAGTGTCGTGCTCAGAGAAGGAATCTGGAGAGCAGGAAAGCTGGGATGCAGATGGGGTAAATGGCCCTTCTGGAGAGGAAGGGGACAGCATTCATGAGCCGCTGGTGGGGTTGCCACAGGTAAAGGAGCTGCTGTTAATGCAGAAGGGTATCTGAGAAAAAACAAACAGGTCAGCTTTTTACTGCACACCTGAGAAGGCTGGTAGCAGGGAGGACTGTAGCCTCTGCTCAGAGGGGTCTAAAATGCTGCTGGAATTTGCTGTCCTCTCCCTGGCGTTTCTCTCCCCGGCGTTTCTCTCCCCTGCTAACTGATCCCAGGTGTGTCTCTGAAACTTCAGAAACTAAGTTGGCCAGCAGTTGAAAATTTGACTGTGGTTTTTTTTCACACTGATAATACTTTATTGAATAGATGCTGAATGCTCATCTGTTGCTTTTAAGACCTGCTGGAGTTAGTAACTGGAACTGTGGTTGCCTCTGGGCAAGCAGTACTGGTGGAGGAGCAGCAGTGTGCTCCAAGCTTCAGTAGCCCTTAACCCAGTCTTTGCAGCCAAAAGCTTTCCTGATATTGCGGGGGTTGGTTGGTTTCTGTGGGGGTGTTCGGGTTTTGGGGGTTTTTTTTAAAGTTAAATTGAGAAGCAGGTGAATGTCCCCACCTCAGAAGTTGATAACAACTCTACTGAAACTCCATGCTTACATCTGGTTGTACGTCTGTGGTCTCAGAAGTCAGACTGAGCGACAGCCTGGAAGACCGGTGTCCTCGGCACGCAGCCACGCTGTGATTTGCTGCCTGAAGAACAGGTCTCCAAGGGTGCTTCCTACCTCACTTTCCCAGGATTTGCACCTGGGGTTGACAACTGAAGGCATCTGAGGAACAAGAACTGTGCAGTCCCCAAGTTATTTAGCAACCTTCAGAGTTTGTTACAGACAAGGAGGGCTGACTGTGAACTGGGGCATCTCCATCTTGTTAATGGTGGTTCATTGTTTGGAATATCGTGGTCCTCTATTTGCCCTACACAGGTGACACCGAGTAAAAAAGTTGCTAAATTCCTTGTTCTTGAATTTGCTTATTTGGCAGCCATCGGCCGCGGACTGCTTCTCCTGGAACCTCTGATTTCTGTGCCAGCAGTGCGAATGCCACTGTGTGGGCTGGTGCTGGAATAGTGCCAGCGTGAAGGGACAACTTTCCTTATGGCCTGGAGCTCAGGGACAGCTGCTGTCTGTTGTGGCACTAGCCTGGCTGCCTGCGTGGTGGGTGAGATGCAGCTGATAAAACTGTCTTACTGGAGCTGTTCTGCAGGTGTGCTTTGGTTGTGTTTTTGTCACGGTTGAAGACGCTGGCGTTAACAGCAGCGGGAAGAGTGAATGGGGAGCTGCAGAGCGGAAGGGTCCTTCAGTGGGCTTCTGGGGTCTCGAGGCGGAGAAGTTGCATTGGGGGGGACAGGGAGAGGGGAGACCTGCGCCGTGAAGAGCTGGTTTAAGGTAAGGGGGAGGTGATGGGAGCGAATGCTGCCCAGGTGAAGAAGAAAGAACGGATTCAGAAGACGCGGGAGGGTATGCGGTGGGCCAGGCCTGGCAGCGGGGTGCTTCACCCACGCGTTCAGCAGTGGGGGCTCGCGTGTTCCCCACGCGTGGGTACCCGGGGCGGGGGCCGATGCAGGGCAGGGC